GGGGGGGGGGTCAGAGTAGATGACCTGCAAGGTCCCTTCCAACTCTGTTAATCTGTTAAAAGCCAGCTCGTTGATCTGGGTGGACTTTACTTTTAAGGAGAGCAGCAGAGAGCAGCAGGACTCATGAACCCGAAGAGAGGTTTCTGGGTGCAAAAATTCCCTTTCCTTTATGATTCATTTGGCATCAGCGGCCAAATTGTGTGGGATCTCATTCTTAAAAGGTTCTTTTCCCCCGCCCCTCCTCTTTGGGGCTCCTGGGGCCTGCGTTTTGTCTAATTTTTAAATAATGTGTGGTGAGTTGAATTATTGCTGAGGATTCCAAGCAAAACCCCCCAAAAAAGAAAAGTTCCAAATACTTGCTTATCTTTTGCTTCGCTATTGTTAGCTACAATTCCTAATCGCTTGCAGATGTTTGGAATGGCATTGTTTCATAAAAAGACTGCGCTCTCTCTCTCTCTCTCTCTCTCTGTGTGTGTGTGTGTATGTGTGTAATAAGCCCCTTGTTAGAATGTATTGATTCAGGGTTTAAATATGTGGCTGTTACTTGAGAATGGGTTTGCAAATAGTTGGGTTTCGGTGCTGGCAGTTCAAAACCGTTTCCATTCTTGCCTTCAATTTTCATCAGGAGGGGGGTGGAAGGGTTGTGAGAATTGCCATGAAAACAGAAGTCGTTGCCGGAGGGGGCCGAGGTCTGGATTTCTGCAGAAACGATGTCTGTCTTTGCTCACCTTTGCTTAAACCTTTTAAATACACGATTTCCTGTGATGGCATTGAGATCCTGTACATAGCAGTCAGGAGCCCAAATCTTAGGATTCACACCGAGACGCTCTTTGTATCGGCAATCTGTGGTAAATGTCGTTGCTAGTAAACATTCCGAGTTACCCTCTTTCTACATTAAATAATAATTCTTCTTCTTCTTTTTGGCTCCTTTTTTGCACTCAAGAATTTCAAACCAGGCAAGGAAAAAAAAAATCATTGTGCAAAATTAAAAGTGCATTTTGGCAAAGATTACTCACATGTAAATGCCTGGGAATTACACAACCCCTTCACGTTCTCTCCAAATTGTAAATATTTGCAAAGTGCGATACGTTTAAAGTTAAAAATTAAGAGAAATTGGGCTGCTGGTTTCCAAAAAAACAACAACAATCCCAAAACAGCATGATTAATTGCTGCTTTTTTTTTAAAAAAAGAAATTCTTTGTGATGATAATTTGATGAAATTTGTTAAAGCTCCTTTTTTTCCCATTCAATTTGTTTTGTTCTTTCTGCTTTTAGTGTAGCTTGCTGAACCGTCTTCGGTTGCTGTCGCTCCTTCAGGCGATGATGTTGCAGTAGCGAAAGGGCCCAGCAAAGGAGAAAGGATGAGAAGAGGGGGCTGGCTGTGGACCATGGGCCTTGCCATGGTCCTGGCAGCCACCAGGGTTGAGAGTTTCTCCAGCTCCAGGTGAGTCCTTGCCTTCATCTAGTGAAGAGGCACCGCTGGCCGAATTGCAGCAGAGGCTTGCAAGGTTTTCTGCAAAGCTAACTGGGGGCAAGCTTGGGTGGTCCAAAGATGGCCCCTGCCCACCCCAGGAGATGGGTGAGAGCAAGGGGCACCTCTTCTGATGCTCTGAGCCACGGGGGCGCAGTGGTTAGAGTGCAGTGCTGCAGGCTCCTCCTGCTGACTGCCAGCTGCCTACAATTTGGCAGTTCGAATCCCACCAGGCTCAAGGTTGACTCAGCCTTCCGTCTTTCCGAGGTGGGTAAAATGAGGACCCAGATTGTTGGGGGAAAGAGGCTGACTCTGTAAACCGCTTAGAGAGGGTTGGAAAGCACTGGGAAGCAGTATATAAGTCTTAAGATTTCTAAGTGCTATTGCTTGCTATCTGTCTGTCTGATTGTCTGCCTGTCTGTCTGTCTGTCTATCTATCTATCTATCTATCTATCTATCTATCTATCTATCTATCTATCTATCTATTTCTCCCTCTCTCTCTCTGTATATGTGTACACATACACACACACACACACACACACATATAATCTTATTATCTATCTAACTCTTTATATATATGTATCATCTATTCTCTCTCTCTCTCTTTATCTATCTATCTATATCTACCTCTATCTCTATCTTTCTATCTTTCTATCTCTCTATCTCTCTTTCTATCTATCTATCTATCTATCTATCTATCTATCTATCTATCTATCTATCTATCTATCTAAGAGCCTTGCCAAACAATTTTGGGTAAAAGTGGCTAGAAAAGATGACAGGAAAACATGTAGATTTTAAACCTGAACTTTTTCTACTGGGTATAACACCAGAAAAAATTGATAAAACAAAATATATATTTAATATTGCATGTATTAACAGCAGCGAGGATTATATTTGCACAATATGGAGAAAAGGAAGAAACTCCACGAGACAAAGAGATAATTAGGAAGATCCTGGATTGTGCAGAAAAGCACAGACTTCCGCTGAAGAGTAAACCGAAAGAAGAGACAGAATATTATCAGACATGGACTTTATTTTATCAGAGGTGGAAAAAAAGGGATGGATAAATAAGAATGTCATCTGTACTGCTAAGTAAATAAAATAACCCAGACAACACGATGTTTATTAAGCACTAACAAAGTATAAACAATAGAAAATTAATAAAACTTTTTTAAAAAATGTACCTGACTTTGCCTTATCCTTTTGTGCTTCTCCCTCACAGGTGTGGTGGATGCTCCATGGAGATGAGAAGCCACACCGTATCCTACCTCGCCTCCCATGTCCAGCCAGTTCACCAGCCCTACCTCACCCTGTGCCCGGGAAACAGGCTCTGCAGTACATACAGGCAAGAGAGCGGAGAGAAACCAGGGGATCTACTGGGCCTCTATCTTGACCCTCCCACACCCTGTAGCAGGGAGTTCCAGAGGTTCATGGCATGCCATTGAAGGCCTTGGCAAGTTCTACCTACAACCAGTCATGGGATTCAAACAATTTAACAATCGGTTCTCTGCCCTAATGACTGGCTGGATGGGTGTAGCTGGATAGTCATGTGCCTGGTGTCAGGATTCCAGCAATCGCCCTAGTTAAATCATGATTCTCGAGCCAAACTTCAAAAAACTTCCAAGGATTTATTGGAGGCGACATATTGGCATTGCCCTGTATGAAGCCAACTCTGGCCTACATAATTTTCAGTCCACTGTCACCCTGTTTCCCCCCCTCCCCGCTGGGTGTGTCATAAATCAGATTTTCCAATTGACGGGCTGGGTGTCCTCAATCACGTTCTCCAATTCAATACATTTGCGGGCAAAAGTTCTGGTATTTTAGTTACAATCTTTGAAAGATAAGAGTTGGAATGTACTTTTGCTTTCCAACTGCTGCACTGCTCTTCCAGATTTGCTTCCCCGCCGCCACCTTTTTATGGCAACTACTAAAACAGGCATAGCCCCTCCTTGCCCCGCCCAGCCCTGTAACCTTGGGTGGCCGGGCAAGTGGCTCGGTAGCAAGGCGAGGGGTGGCTGGGAGGGGAGGGGCAAGGCAGGGCCGGGCCGGGCATAGCGAGGCACGCTCTTCAGCCAGTTTATCAAAACTACACAAAAAGTTAGCTACCGGTTCTCCTGAACCAGTGCGAACCTGCTGAATCCCACCACGGCCAGCAATCCACGGCAGGTTGTTACAAGGAAGTTGCCGTAGCCTTCAGTGGCATCTAATTAACCTCTGGAACTCCCTGCCACAAGGTGTGGGAGGGTCAAGGTAGAAAGGCAATGCATCTCTGCTCTTGCACTCTCCTTTTCATCCGGAGTTATTCCCTGATCGAAAGGCAGTGGGGCAGATAGGGGGCATCCTTTGGGTCCATCCAAGAAGCCTTCCTTCTCTGTAGCTGCCTCCCTCTCAAGACAGCAGGATTTCACACCGTCTAGTTCAGGGTTTCTCCATCTTGTCAGCTTTAAAATGTGCAGACTTCAACTCCCAACTAGTAACAACCATGCTACTAACACAACTGTGGCGAGATAGTTCATAAAACGGGGCAAAACTCGCTTAAGCACTGTCTTGCTTAGCAACGGAAAGTTTCAGTTCAATAGTGGTCGTAAGCTGAGGAGAATCTGGATTCTTTCTTATTTTCCCCACAAGAACATCCCTGGGCTGAGAGAGGGGGCTTTTTTCCCCCTTGTACGTTGTTTTTAGAATCGTTAACGATTCCTTCTTTGCGTGTTGCTTTGAAGCACAACTAAGGTGATCGAAGGCCTGGAAACTAAAACATACGAAGAAGAACGGCCGCAGGATTTGAGTTTGGCCAGTCTAGAGAAGAGAAAGACTAGAGGGGATAAGAGAGCGGTATTCCAGTATTTGAGGGGCTGCCAAAAAGAGGACGGGGTCAAATTATTTACCAAAGCCCCCGTAGGCAGGACAACAAACAATGGATGGAAATTAATCAAGGAGAGAAGCAACCTGGAATTAAGGAAAGACTTCCTCACAGGGAGGACAATTAACCAGTGGAACTGCTTGACACCAGAGGTTGTTGGTGCTTTATCACTGGAGGTTTTTAAGAAGAGACTGGACAGCCACTTGCCTGAAATGGTATAGGATCTCCTGGTTAAGCAGGGGGCTGGACTAGAAGACCTTTAAGGTCCCTTCCAGCCAGTGGTGGGATTCAAATTTTTTTTACTACCGGTTCTGTGGACATGGCTTGGTGGATGTGGGAAGGGGAAGGTTACTGCAAAATCCCCCTTCCCTTCCCTCCCCACCCCACTAACCTGCTTTCCAGCTCCGTTCTCCTGTTCAGGGCAACCAAAGGAGACCCAGCCGATCAGCTGGGACTCAATGGGAGGCAGAGAAGAGATGGGGTTAGCGGGGCCAGTCGCAGGCTGATTCTCCAAACGAATCAAAATTTCTGCTCCCGGTTCTCCAGGACCGGTCAGAACCAGCTGAATGCCACCTCTGCTTCCAGCTCTATTCTATTCTAATTCTAATGTTATTGTTAATTGCAAACTTCCCAAAGATGCTGGAAATCAGGCAGCCTATACAATGTGTGTATAAATAAGTATTTATACATACTTACACGTCTAAGGAAGCTGGCGCTTTCCAGTCTGATTTTCTCCTCAAAATATCCAACAAGTTCACATTTGGGGCTCTGTGGTTTTGCAGAACTACCTATAAAGTCGGACGTCGCCAGGTTTATCAGAAGATTTTGCGGCCGGAATACGTTTGCGCTCCTGAATGGAAGCGGAGAAGTGCTTTCTCTTGGCTCGGATGTCCCACAGGTGCTTTTTCTTAACCAAAAATTGTTTGGGGCCCTTAGAGGAGGGTTGCTCGATGAGGGTTATATGTGTGAAGCAAGACCAATGCTGAAGAAACTCAGTTTATCTGATGCAAATAGAAGCTCTTTTCCCCTTCTCAAAACTGTATAGTCAGGCCACTTGGAAACCACTTCTGGGCTTTCTGCTCAAAAGAGATACGAATGAAATTCTGAGTTTAAATCAGAGGTCTCCAAACTTGGCAACTTTAAGGCTTGTGGACTTCAACTCCAGCTGGCTGGAGAATTCTGGGAGTTGAAGTCCACAAGTCTTAAAGTTGCCAAGTTTGGGGACCCCTGGTTTAAGTTTTTATAGAAAAGGTGAGGACTTAACTATTTTTATAGAAGGAAAAAATGGTACTATAATTCTACCATGCACTGAAAAAAGGTGGAAGTCCCTGTCTTTTTTCTTTCTTTCTTTTTCCATCACTCTATCCCCTTCTCCTTTTCCCTTCATTTTTTTCCCCCTCTTTTCTTCATTTTCGCTTGTATTTTATATTAAGAAAAATCTTTAATAAAAATTATCGAAAGCTGCATGTCAGGCCCCAGAACGTTTGAAAAGCTAATTACAATTTTTTCAACCATAGTCTGTAGAGATTCTCGGTCCTGGTTGTCCCAAACGAGCTTTTTCAGGAGGCAACTGGACTTTCTTATTTTGTCTTTTGAAGAGGTTTCCCTTCTCCTCCGAGAAGCTTCTCCAGCTCTGACAGGATGGTGGGGAATGGAAGGATTGATATTCCTCCTTGCAGACAGCTGGTCATTTGCATCCTTTGAGAGGGTCGTTGAGGCAGCTTGGAGGTTTATCTGTGTCCTCAGGGTCACCTGAGTGGTGCAAATGTTCCTGTAGTCTTCAATTTTTCTCTCTGGAAATCCCCCTGTCCTATCAAAGCTGAAGAAGCTTCTTGGATGAGAAGCGAAATGTCTTCAGGAGAAAAAATAAAGTCTAGTTGCCTCCTGAAAAAAAAAGCACCTTTGGGACAACTTTTCAACCATGTTAATGTCATAATGTTAACCCTGGATCAGTCAAACCCATCAAGTCAGTTCTGATAACAAGTCACGGCTGAGAGATAAGCAGATAATGGCGGGGTAGATAGCCTGGGTCTCCCTACTTCTACCTGTCTGGATGGGAGTGGGATGCGCCCACCTTCTCTCTGTTTTTGGCTCTCTGGTCCCCCAGTTTCCACCTGGTCTTGTATGAAACCAGCCCGCACGCCCACTGATTTACGAGCAGCCGGTCTGCAGGAAAGAGAAGCCGGCAGGATGCAAACATAACCGTCGTGTTTGTCTCACCGCAGCTGCTACTTGCCGCCCACCGTGCCAGCCCAGCCGGAAATGTTCGCTCCCAAACGACTGCCCCTGCCCTGGATGGACCGGGAGGTGTTGCCAGACAGGTAACAGTCTTTGGGTACTGCCAGGTGTTTCCTCTTCGGGAGAAGTTGCGACACGGATGCTGGCATTTGGGAAGGTGCTGTGCTCCGAAACCTCAGATTAACAGATTCCTAATGTAGCAGGAAGGAAGTGAGAGAGGTGCCGGTTCTGCTCCCACCAGGGTCTCGGTTGTCAGGTGAACTGGCCTGTGGGTGGAACCAGCATGGTTGGCTCCCATCATGAGAACCCAATGATTGATAGTTGCTTTATTGAAGGAAGTTGGGAAGCAAAGGGCTCGAATGAGTTTTGCCATTTGGTTTGCTCAAAAGACTATTTTACTATGATGGTGATGATGATCAGAGTTTAATCTCACCTTTTATTTATATCTATAATGTAACGTGTTATATTAGACCAGGGGTGTCCAACCTTGGCGACTTTAAGACTTGTGGAATTCTGGGAGTTGAAGTCCACAAGTCTTAAAGTTGCCAAGGTTGGACACCCCTGTATTAGACCTTCTGGCTCATGTTCCCACCTTGGATGGTCCAGCTCTTTTTTGGTTCTTGGTCTCTGCTGCGCAATGGCCATTGTTGGTGTTTCGTAAGGTTTTCAAAAGTGGACTTTTTTTATTTTGCTGAGCATTTGGGCCGGCATGTTAGATAGGCCCATTTCAAGAGATGGGAGGAGATGGTCCGATTGTCAGATCGCGTGTCTATTATTCCACCCAGTCCCCTTCCCCACCATCGATGCAACCATTAATATTGCCAGCGGGTGCAGCAAAGAAACGCCCTAACCAGGCCTGGGAAGGGGGCCGCCGTTTCCACAAATCTATGGGGCACCCCTTAGCTCACCGTTTCCCCCTCTGGCTGCAGATATGGACGAGTGTGCAATGGAGAAACACGGCTGCAGCCAGCTTTGCATCAACACGGCCGGAAGCTACCGCTGTGCTTGCCGTCCGGGGTACGAGCTCCATGCGGATGGACAAACTTGCCGGGCTCTGAAAATGGCCCCTACGCCAGCTCCCCCAGGTGAGATCGGAGCTTGTCTGGCAGGGTGATGGGGAAAAGGGTTCGGGCTTTGCGGGCTTGCTCATCACAAAATGCACAGGCCAACGGGGGATTTTTGCATGGGATTTCTCCTTCTCTTTCCCAACATTTGGATTTGCACCTGGGCCCTCCTTCTGGCCACCTTCGTATCTGGTGACTTGGCTGGCTTGTTATACAGATTATCAGAGTTGGAAGGGACATTGTAGGTCATCTAGTCCAGGGTCGCCAATCTTTTGGATCTCAGGTACCACCAAACCCATAATTTTAAATCCCGGGGACCACTAATATGAATTTGGACTGATGGTAGCTTGTTGATGTTGGTGGGAGAGAGAGAGAGAGAGAGAGAGGGAGAGATCTGGTGTAAACTCCCCCACCTACCCACACAAACACACACAGGCGGGGCGGGATTCAAATTTCTTAACAACCGATTCTTGGGTGTGGCCTAATTTGTGGGTGTGGCTTGGTGGTCATGTGACCGGCTGGGCGTGGCATGTATGTAAATATTATAAATATTTATGTAAATATTGAATTTTTTTAATAAAAAAAGAGCAACTTTTACCCAAAATCAGGCAAAGCAGGCAGGCAGATTGAGTTGCTCACAGAATCATTCAGCGATCTATCTATCTGCCATCGGCTAGCTCAGTCTGTCACATAAAATTTGCTTGCCGTGAGTCTGCGCTGAATAATAGAAGCTTCAGTCCTAAGGGAGGTTCGGCTGTGCTTAAAAGCAGAGCCGAAAATCTAAAGACTAGCTAGAAAGCAAGAAATCCAACCATTTCCTGCTTCCTAGCTAATCTAAATCTCCTGGCAGAGCAGAACAGATGGTGGTCAGAAAAAGGAAACATAGCAACTTAGCAGGCAAGTTTGCCAGGTAATGAGTGAGTGGGGGGAGCGGTTTCCCGCGGGCCATGTGGGCAGCGCAGCCTTGTGTTTCTGTGCAGCCTGGATTCATTGCTTTGTGGTGGTGCTCTGGGGCTGACATTTCTCTGCGGACCACCAAAATTTTCTCACAGACCACCAGTGGGCCGCGGCCGACTGGTTGGCAACCACTGATCTAGTCCACCCCCTGCCCAAGCAGGAGACCCTACACCATTTCTGACAGATGGCAGTCCAGTCTCTTCTTGAAAGCCTCCAGGGATGAAGCTCCCACAACTTCTGAAAGCAATTTCTGTTCCATCAGTTGAATGCCCTCATTGTCAGAAAATGTCTCCTTATTTCTAGGTTGAATCTCTCCTTGTTCACTTTACATCCATTATTCCTTGTCTGGCCTTCTGGTGCTTTGGAAAATAGCTTGACCGCTTCCTCCTCTCTGTGACAGCTCCTCAAATATCTTCACCAAACTAGCCATATGCCCAGTTTCTGTATGTTTTCATACGTTCATCGTATGTTTTAGCCTCCAGTCCCCTCATCATCTTGATCCAGAAGGAGAATCTTTGATGATACCTTGAGATTATTATGCAGGAATGGTGTTCCACACCAGTGGGTAGGTGGTAGGTGTGTTGGTTGGTGGTAGGTTCCTTGAGTTAGAGATCTCATGATGAGCTGTCCTCCCAGGTAGGACAGGAAGACAAATTTCTTGTTGCTTAAATGCCTGGGAGGCACAACCATAGCTAGTTTTTCCAGAGTCCCTCCAGTATGATACATGAATCCAGTACCTGGGCTAGTGGACAATTTAGTTCAACTGGAATCCATCAATTGTAACCTGCTTTCTGGATGCAAACACTAGCAGTGTTTTTCATCTCTGTCATTTTAAGGTGAGTGGACGTCAACTTCCCAGAATTCTGGGAATTGACGTCCATCCATCTTAAAGTGGCAGAGGTTGAGAAACATCTCTCTAGACTCACTCGGTCCTCAAAGAGGAATGGCTGCACTGCTTCTTGTCGCTTCTGAACAATGCAGGGATGTCCATCTTCTCCAAGCATGTTGTCCTGCCCCTGTTGGAATCTGATTCCGAGGGGGAGTTTGAGCAGCTGACAGGGAGTGGGAGTGTGGCTCCAGTGGCTGTGGAGGAAACTGGGGAAGGGCACAGTCCAGCTAGGCATTCAGAGGAAGACTCAGGCCCACCCCCTCTTCACCCTAGGGTACACAGGGAGGAATGGAGAAGGGAGCAACGTGGGTTATGGGGGAGGAAAAGGCCCTGATTCCCTTCATTAGCTGCAGCTGGGAAAACAGGATTTAAAAAGGGCATTTGCGCACAGCACCTTGCTGGAAACAAAGCGTGAATTATCTTTGTCAAGTCTTAGTTGGGTTCTGGCGTCCTCCCAACTGTGTGTTTCGTTATCTTTTGACGTCTTCAATCCTTTATCCTGCCCTGTCTCATTAGTTGCTGCAGTGTGGTTTGTGTTGATTTTTATTTATAATCTATATGTACTTTGGGTTCAGACTGAATTCCTTCCCTTTAAAAACTGTTCTTGGGAGAGTTTTTTCTCCAGACGATGATAACTGGACACTGGGGGCCAAGTTGAAGATATTAAAGGGACTTTACCTATTTTTGTGACTTTGTTGCTTTTGTGCCATGCCCTGGGTCATCACATGTTCTCAGATGCTACGTGCAGCCTTGTGGGAGAACTCAGATTTTCACAATTAGACTACCGGTACATTAATGTGTGTAGCACACCCAAGTTTACCTGGTCCCTAATCCTGACCCAACATGACTGACCTGGAGGTCCCAAACATCACCTTGAATTCTGCACACACCTTCCTGTAGCACCTCAAGGCTTTTCTCAAGAGACTTCAAAGGTTCCACATGCCGCCTTCCTTCTCTACATCGCACCCCAAGCAGGAAGAGAAGACTATCAGCCCAGGCTGACTGCGGCTCATTATTACTTTTGGTACGCGCTGTGCCACTTCAAACTCGTACCGTGAGTAATAATGCGCGGAGGGCCAGCTTTTACGCCGAAGAGGACGAGTGGAGCAACACGTCGCCACCAGCCTTTCATCCATGGGAAGGGAGCAACTACTTAACAGGCGGCTGATTTCCTGCACTTTCTTGGGCAGACCAAGAAAAGGAGGATTTTGAACGGCTGTGATGGGTTGGTTTGGTTTTTGTCACTTCTCCTCCAGGAGCTCGAGTTATAGTGCTCCTCCCAAAAATAAGCTTGCAAGGTAGGCCGAGTGAAGAGCCGGCAAGTGGTTTAAGTCTTCTGTGGTTGAGGGTGGTCTTGAACCCAGGTTTTTCAGCTTCCAACAACTCAGCTCCATGCCAGATGGATTCTGAGTGGTTTGGCGGTATTTGCAATCCTGTCGGGATAAGGAGAGTGCCAGATAGGTGGGAATCCCAGTGAATAAAACGCCTACTCATTTCTCTACGGATGTCTGTTTGGTTGTTCACATCTACACAGTCGTTGCCCACGGAAACAATAAAATCAACGGGGGGGGGGGACCTCCCACCTTCACTAGCACAGGTGATGTTACCTAGCTGGAGAAGGAAATGTCTGCAAACCAGCAGCCAGGCTCAGAGAGCACCAAGGACTCCAGAGGTTTAAAAACAGAAAATGATTTTAATAACGGTAGACACACACACACACACACACACACACACACAGTTCTGGTTTTTTTTACTCTTGATAATTTAAATGGCATTTCCTCCTTCTTGTAACTGTTTGTGTGGGAATTTTTTGTCTCCAGCCAAGGATATTTGGAGCTTGGAAGCAAAGTGAAGGAATAAAAGGGGCGTCACCTGTTTTTTTGTCACTGTGTTTACTTTGTATCCCACCCGGGGTCATCACACTAAGATAGACACGCTGACCGATTTGATTAAAGATAATATCTTTGTTTATTGCTGAGTGGAAACCCCTTATTGGAAAAAAATAAAATAAACATGATCTATGATTCTGATAATTATAGAAGTTAGACGTAGAAAGAAGAGAGTCACAATGAAATTTTTGAGAAAGGAGGAAATCTACAACTGTAGTTAAAGGTAAAGGTTCCCCTTGCACATCTGGGCTAGTAGGGGGTGGTGCTTGTTTCCATTCCTTCACTTGTCAGAAGGTGACAAAAGCCAATCACATGACCGTAGGACCAGTGGTGGGATTCAACTGGTGTAACAACCAGTTTGGTGGGCACATGTTTCGTACACGCAGGTACATGCTTTTCGTTTTGAAAATAGAAGGAAAACTTACCTTTTACCACAGCCCGGGCAGTGGTGGTATTCTACCGGTTCAGCCCAGTTCTGCCAAGCTGGTAGTGGCGATGAGCAATGGAGACTGAAATGGTTCTCCCTGCCGCTCTACTGTTGGGCCCACCCACCTGCCCGGGCTCCCATTTTCACCTTTATCCAGGAGTCAGATTCTGCCAGTTCGCACCTATTTGCTAGAACCAGTTGTTAACATTCTAAGCAGTTCGGAGAACTGGTTGTTAGAAGAAATTACAGGGCTAATCCTGTAAGGAAGACAGGAAGGTAACATTCTGGTGTTGCTTACAGAAACTGCCTCTCCGTTAACCCTTATTACATTCTTGGCAGGACTAGACTTCCTGTCTCAGGAACGTCTCTGGAGTTTTTCCCCTCCTTTGCTGGTACTTTGCTTGTGTGGACCATTCAAAGTTACAATGGCACTGAAATTGACTTATGACCATTTTTCACACTTACGACTGTTGCAGCATCCTCACAGTCATGAGAGGCCAGGCGAGAAGATGCGTGCCTCGATGTGAGTGATGTTGAGTTGGCCAAGCCCAGCCAGTCACATGACCACCAAGCCATGCCCACCCAGTCACATGACCACCCAAGCCATGCCCACCACCTAAGCCACGCCCACAGAACCGGTTGTTAAAAAATTTGAATCCCACCGCTGCCTTTATCCCCTGCTTTTGAAGCGCAGCTGCTTTGCACAGCACAGCCGAGTGCTGCGTGGCAGCTGCTGAAGTGACCGGGAGAGCGCAGGGTTGCAGGAGGTGAGCTGGAATACCTCTGTGCCTGGTGCACATTTGGTGCACATGCGCACGTAAAGTCTGTGCACGCATGCAAAGTGTGCCCACCAAGCCACGCCCACCAAACCGGTGGTAAAACTTCGAATCCTACCACTGAGTAAAAACAGCCAAGGCGTGGCAATTCGGGCTGCCATGCCAAACAGCTGGGCTTCAAACAAAGGAAATCTGACAGAATACAGCAGGGGTGGGTGGGTGAAACCAAAGCGTCGCTGGAACTACCGGTTCATCTGAACCGATCCCTACCAGCTGAATCTACCTGACTCTGTGGTTTCTTCCCCAAACCCCAAAAACTTCAACCTTAGACTGTCTACTATTGACCTCACCCCTCTCCTAAGAGGCCTGTAGGGGCCGTGCATAAGCGCACCAATCGTGCCTACTGTCCCTGTCCTATTGTTTCTTTTTTTATTTTTCTTATATGTACCCATGTATTCATAGCTATGTTTTTACTAATACCTATTACCTTGTAAGCAATTGACAAACCAAATAAATAAATAAAATAAATCTCACCGTCATGAACCCGTTGCCAAGCATCCAAATTTTGATCGGGTGACCACGGGAATGCTGCAACGGTCGTAGGTGTGAAAAATTGTCCTTTTTGTTGTCAGTCGAGAACTAGCCGTCCTTCAGCCGAGCCAGATTCCTAAGGGCTTCTGGTTGTTTCTTGGCTATAACTGGGAACAAATGGCCTCGGTCCCCCAGGTTGTTTGAGAAGCCATCGTGAAGGAATGCAGATCTGGCTTTGAGGACGGAAGTAGAGAGAGACGTCAAGTGGGGGTCAGGACGTGGACAGAGAGAAGGAAACGCAAGAAAGAAACTCGAGAAAGAAAACTGATTCTCTTAAGTGTACGAAGGGACCGAGAGAAACTCGGACAGACTTTTGGGAGCATCTTATTGTATCCTAGAATAGTAACAAACACAACCTTCTTGCAATCCCTGTGATGTCTGACTTTAACCAGCTTCTTACAGATGCTTTTTTTTGTTGTGTGTTTGTTCCTGTTCTGTTGTGCATTTGTGTAGCAGGAAGTGACCACCTTCCCGCTCCAGACGAAGTGAGAGAGCTGAGGAGCAGGCTGGCAGCTTTGGAAGAAGTGAGTCTCCTTCTAGTAACCAAGCGGTTAGGAACGGAGAGGCCGGTGGTCTGAACAGCAGCACGTCGCTGCCCTAAGCAACATAAACCCATAAGGTCCAGGCAGACATCAGGGAGGGGAAATCCACTCGGTAATTAAGACGATGGGCTCGACTCAGGAAAGAAAGTCTTAAGTTGAGCTTCGCTGGTGGGGTCTTCACCAACGCAGCTGCACTGGCTGAGGAATTCTGGGAGTTGAAGTCCACAAGTCTTAAAGTTGCCCCGTTTGGGGACCCGTGATATACAACATCAGAGTTCTGATTTCTTGTCTCCCAAGTCCTTGTTCCGTTCCACCCGAAAGAAAAGTCTTTGGTTTTTTCTTCTTTCTAATGTTCCCTTGAAGGCTTTTCTGTATTGAAGACACTTTCTCCCTTTCTCAACAGAAGTTCCAGCTCGTATTGGCACCCTTTCTCAAGCTGGACCTGCCTGGCGCCGGAGAGGGCCCCGGGGCAGAACCCATCAGCCTCTTGGTCCACGTGATCCAGCAACTGGACCGAATAGATTCGCTCAGCGAGCAGATCTCTTTCCTGGAGGAGCGCCTGGAAACCTGTAGGTGGCCCCAATGGACCTCCCTCCCTCCCACCCATCCACCCACGCCCCCTTTCCAAATAGTCTACATGGCCCGGATCCGTGGCAGGATTTCCCTTGGGACGGAAGCAGAAGTGGTGCAAAGTGCAGGAGGAATTGAGGGACGGGTGGCTGGTCTGCAGAGCCCTACAGCCCTCTTCTATGCCCCCTCCCCCAATAACTTTCCACCCCCTTTCCACATATTCAGGGATACTGTTAGCTCCAGATCAGGACCAGGGATTTCTTCCCCCAATTTGCAGGTAGAAGGTGTGCCCTAAATAGCTAAATGGGCGGGCGGGAAGCAAAATTTTAATATTTGTAGCTCAGGGTTGCGAGGAGGGCTCCTTGGGGCTCTCTAAATATGGTTGTTTTGTTGCAGGCATTTTATGACCCAACTAGGTAACGTCATTAGTGCTAGAAGGGAGTGGGATTTGAGGAGGAGGGGGAGGAGGAGGAGGAGGAGGAGAGGGCTGTGGGGTCCTCGGTGCTCTCTGAGCTTGGTAATTTTCTTGCAGACGTTTCTTCACCCAACTAAGTAACATCATCATTTTGCTAGGAGGGTCTGGGGAGAGGAGGAGGAGGATTGTGAGGTTCTGGGTGGTCTCTGAGCTCACTTGTCTTCTTGCAGACGTTTCATGAGCCAGCTAGGTAACATCATCAGGGCTAGAAGGGAGTGGGGTTTGCTCTCGGTTTATACAGTGGCATGCCCTGTCAGTGTTGGTGGGGGGTGTTTTCTTCTTGGTCTTAATTTGTCTGTTGTTTGCTGCTTGATTGTTGGTCTGACTCGATCATTCCTGGATATGTTTACTGTTTACTTCTTGAAACTTGAATCAGTAAACGATACCCCAGTGGAGAAACTGGCAACTCAGACAGACAATCCAACAGCAATCCACCGCCCAATCAAGGAGTCCCCCCCACCAGTACTGTCAGGGAAGCCACTAGCATCCAAGCAGAGAGCAAACAAACCCCGTCCCCTTCTAACACTGATGATGTTAACTAGTCAGGTTATGAAATGTCTGCAAGAGAACAGCCAAGCTCAGAGAGCACGGAGCAAACTTTTGGGTGGGCAATGGGGGAAATCAGCTCTTTTGAAATAGCTGAGAGAGGCCTTCCTTCCTCTGAAGTCCCTTCTCCCGTGTTCTTTCCTTTCCTTCACCCTCACGGACTCTCCTCCTTGCAAAGCACAAGCAAGTTCCCCTCCTCCCAGCTTGGCTTTGCCATTTTGTCCCTGTAAAGGTAAAAAGTAAAGGTTCCCTTCATACATCCGTGCTAGTCGTTTCCAGCCCTAGGGGCCGGTGCTCATCTCCGTTGCAAAGCCAAAGAAGAGCCAGCGCTGTCCGAAGACGTCTCCGTGGTCATGTATCCGGCATGACTAAACGCCTTCAAAGGCGCACGGAACGTTGTTCCCTTCCCACCAAAGGGGTCCCGATTTTGCTACTTGCAATTTTTTTACGTGCTTTCAAACCGCTAGATTGGGAGAAGCTGCCGGGACAAGGAACGGGAGCTCCCTCCGTGACGCGGCGCTGGGGGTTTGAACCGCCGAACTGCCGACCTTTCGGATCGACAAGCTCATCGTCCTAGTCACTGAGCCCTCACGTCCCCTTTTGTCCCCTTGTAGGTTCCTGCAAGAACCGGCTCTGAGGCTGCAGGAGGATGGAGATCCCTGGTGCTCCCGCATCCCACTGTTTTTTCTGCTGTGTCTCTCCGTTGAGTAGCAACTGAGCCCTGTTTCCAGCAGCCAAGCCAAGCCAAGGCAGCGGAGAGGATTAAGAGGCTGGAAATACCACGTTCTCAGCGAGCCCACTCACCCTCCTTCCAGCTGGCTGGCTCCCAGGGTGGCTCACCTCTCCCAACCCTGCTGGCCAGGGGTTGTGGGAGGGAGAGAGGCAAAAACCTAGCTAAACATCCCTGGAAACAGGAAGCAACTTGCTTGCGGAGTGGACGGATTCGGGTGAGGGGAGCAGGTCTCGCCTTCCTCGGGAGGTATGAGAGCAGCAACGAAACGGGGCCCCTTTGGCAAAGCTCAGAGGCTGCTCTTTTCCAGGCTATCACCCAAAATATCTTGGCAAGGCAGGGTTATTTCTCTGGGGGGGAGGGCTAAACCAGCCCTCCCCCGCCCTGTGTAAATGCACCATTCGTGTCCTTGCTTTGCTTTCCAATTGTAGGAATACTCCCACTGTTTCCCATGTCCTCCCTCTTTCAGAAAGAAATAGAACAGGTTCCTAGGGCTGGAAGGGACCTTGTAGGTCATCTAGTCCAACCCCCACCCAAGCGGGAGACCCTACGCCATATCTGACAGATGGCAGTCCCGTCTCTTCTTGAAAGCCTCCACGTGTGAAGCTCCCACAACTTCTGAAAGGCAACTTCTGTTCCATGAGTGGATTGTTCTCCCTGTCAGAAAGTTTCTCCTTATTTCTAGGTTGAATCTCCCCTTGATCCGTTTCCATCCATTATTCCTTGTTTGGCCCTCAGGTGCTTTGGAAAACAGCTTGACCCCTTCCTCCTCCTCTCTGGGGCAGCCCCTCAAATATTGGAAGGCCGCTATCCTGTCTCCCCTGGTCCTTCTCTTCCCTAGACTAGCCAGGCCCAGTTCCTGCAACCGTTCATTGTATGTTTTATTCTCCAGTTCAATCATCATCCTGGTTACTCTTCTCTGCCCTCTTTCTAGAGTCTCAACCTCTTTTTTATAGTGTGGTGACCAAAAGTGGATGCAGGATTCTAGGTGTGGCCTTACATAATACTTACTACCCCGTTTTCTCAAGCAGGAAGCGAATGGCTGTCCAATCTCTTCTTGAAAACCTTCAGGGATGAAGCATCACCACTTCTGGAGGGAGAGTCCTTCCTCTGGTTCAATTGGAAGTTTCTCCTTAATGTCGGTTGGATCTCTTTAAACAAAGTGCCACCCATTACTTCTTACCCTGCCTTTAGAGCAGTGCCCCCACCCCCCAGCCTTTTGGGCACCAGGGACCGGTTCCGTGGAGAGTTTATCCACGGAGCAGAAGGGTTGTGGTTTCATGTGCTGTCTGCATCCTGTGATTTGGGGCTTTGCTTGTTTGCGCAGCCCAGTTTCTGGCATATCCCAGACAGGTACTGGTGCATGGACCTGGATTTGGGGACCCCTGCCTTAGAGAATAAATCAACGCCCCCCCCCCCTTCTCTGTGACAGCCCCTCAAATCCTGGAAGATGGTAATTATTTCACCTCTAAGCCTTCTAAGCTAGATACACCTCCCTCCCTCACCTGTTCATCCTATGAGTTAGCTTCCAGAATCCTGATTGTCTTAGCTGCTCTTCTCTGCACTCTTCCTAGGATCTCAGTTCTTGTGTGTGGTTTGTGTGTGTATGTGTGTGTGTGTCGTGGTGACCAGAACTGGTTGCAGTAGTCCAAGCGTTCACAAGTGGTATTCTCACTTTCCGTGATCTTGAATCTCTCATCCCTCTGTTGACGTCTGTTGAATGCAGTTGAAGTCTGTGTTGCAACGGACACCTGGCTCCAACTTAGCAATAGCCCTTAGACTTATATACCGCTTTATAGTGCTTTTACAGCCCCCTCTAAGCGGTTTACAGAGTCAGCCTCTTGACCCTCAACAATCTGGGTCCTCATTTTATCCCCCTGGGAAGGACAGAAGGCTGAGTCAACCTTGAGCCTCTCAGGATTGAATTTATGGCTGTGGGCAGCCCGAAATACTTCATTCTAACCACCGCACACCAAGGAAGGAAGGAAGGAAGGAAGGAAGGAAGGAAGGAAGGAAGGAAAAGGAAAGGAAAGGAAAGGAAAGGAAAGGAAAG